CTTAGAACCGTAAGAGTTATCGTTGTCGTTATCACGACGGCTGGAACCATAGCTATCATTCTTAGACCCATAAGAGTCGTTCTTTGATCCGTAAGAGTCGTTAGAGGAGCCATAGCTGTCCTTCTTAGAACCGTAAGAGTTATCGTTGTCGTTGTCACGACGGCTGGAGCCATAGCTGTCATTCTTAGAGCCGTAGGAGTCGTTAGAAGAGCCGTAACTATCCTTCTTAGACCCATAAGAGTTATCATTGTCGCTGTCACGACCGCTAGAGCCATAAGAGCCACTGGAAGAGCTGTGGTCCTTCTTGGAACCATAGGAATCGCCAGAGGATCCATAACTGTTGTCATTCTTGGAGCCATATGAGCCACTGGAGGAGCCATAGTTGTCCTTCTTTGAGCCGTAGGAGTCATTGTCGTTGTCACGGCTGGAGCCGTAGCTATCCTGCTTTGAGCCGTAGCTGTTTCCAGAGGATCCGTAGGAGTCGTTGTCCTTGCGGTTGCCGGAACCGTAAGAATCGTTGGAAGAACCGTAGTTGTCCCGGTTGGACGAGCCGTAGGAGTCGTTTGCTCCAGAACGGCTGGAGGAGTTGTAGGAATCAGAACCGCCGTAGCCAGAGTTTCCCGAGCGGTTGGAGGACTATGTGATTGTTAATAGGATGTCCGTGTTTGGGCAGGCTTCGTATCTTACTCCGTAGCTGTCGTTCTTTGACTGTAACGTGTGATGGTTAGTTATTGTGAAATACACCAATTGGGTGCGATGGTAGACATACACCATACGAATCATTTCCTACACCGGAGGACTGAGAGATGTTAGTGCTGAGAAGGCTTGATCGAAGTGTCAACAGGGGGGTATCATACGCCGTAGGAGTCATTGCCCTGGCGAGACTAGGAAGCATTAGCAATGTTTGAGAATATGGGGGATAATGAGCAATCGAAACGGGCAAGACCTACGCCATAGCTATCATTTCCACCAGAGCGGCTGGAGCTCTGAAAGGCAATTCATGTCAGTGTCCGTCTATACAATTCGAAGACGTGTGTACAATGAACATACATAGTCATTGTCACGGTTGTTGTAAGACATTGTTTATGACTTGTGTGGAGAGGTTTGATGAGATAGAAACAATTGGAATGCAATTGAGACAATGTCTAGATACTAATAGAAGAGGAATATCAAGGCAAGATGAAAACAGAGGCAAGACAAAGCCATCATGGCCAATATTTATATCGCAATCAGGGGGCATGAGGGGCAGCTCCATGTCGCTACCGGGCTTCCTCATCCAGGCAGCGATTTCCGGAGATCCCGCTCATACCTTTCAGCTCATGAGGGGCAGAAGGAAAGCGGCAATCACGCTATGAACCCATCCACAAATGAGCAGATGTGGAGTGGGCACGATCCCATCTCAGCCGATCGAACGGTGTGGCAAAGTACGGCTGAGATGAATGCGATTGGCTTCTCTTGGCACGGGTCAGGGGTCTGGTCCCATCGCCAAATTACTAGTTGACCCAGAAGTCAAGCCACAGTGGCCCGCCGATTGACTGCGTGATTTCATGGGGACTGTGGCGCAGCCCCCTTTAGGTTCGATGGAGTCATAGACTTGCTTCCACTCTGGGTTTCCTGCAGTAAACACGAACTTAACCTCTCTTTCATGCGAGATTTAGAAACTTTATCTCGGTGTCTGGCAAATTGCACCATCCCAGTTGCACTGGCCCATTGCATTATCACACGATCTCTGTCCATACCTCTATTCCCCACTTGGTCGGTGGGAGGCAGCAAAGACTCAGACATCCAGACCATTTGGACCCGGGAGTCGCTAACCTGGTTTTTGCCGCCATACCCATTCTCAACCATCAAAACACTAGAATTTGAGTTTCTTACGGATGCCTATGACCCCTCCTTGTTCATCTCGCTTGCGGAGACTGTGCTCACGTCGTCTCTGACTGGCCCGGATGCTATGACGTACAAATAAAATGACACTGGCTAGCTTTGAACATGTGTGTGCACAATACTTACCACTCGGACTGTATTTAGACCTGGTCTCCAGAGACTCGTTCATTGAAAGGGCTGCAATGGAATTTTTAGATCATTCGCAGTGCCCGAGTAACTATGCGCGCCCTTATCTGATCAACTTGGCTATGACAACTTCAGCTCAATTGCAAGCCATACGCTAATGAAAGCCAAGTTTTCATGAATAAGACGTCGATTGGGCAATCGAAAGTGAGCTGAGACATATGCAGGCGGAGATAATCTCCCAACTCTCATCCATGTGGTTGATTCCTCGCGTGGATACCCGGTAGCGAACCCCACAGTCAGTTAAACTGCTATCTTAGGTCACCGCTCAGCCACACTACCTGAAGAATCGCTTCAACTCACCCTATGAACGTTTCACACATGCTATTTAGGATCTTTGCACTATGCACGGTTCGCTAGAGACCCCATGAGGAGCAGGAAGCTGCTCGCTCAGCTTATCAAAGGTCTAGAAAGACAATATCTCAACGACTGAGGTGTGTGACGTGTTTATATATTAATGTACTATCATAGTCTGATATCTCAGTACAAAAGGGCACCTAGTGTACCTTGGATTGGATCTCTAGTCTGCTCTATCCCAAGTCCTGGATGCCCTTAAAGCTCTAGATCAGGGATGGTTTCAACTTGATATAAACCAAGTTGAATGGCATCAAAGTTCGGATGTTCGCTACCTCGATGCTCGTATATTCCATGCAACTAAATAATGTTTTTTTTTTGGGTGACATTTTTGACTCGCTCTGTTAGTGGGTCTTTTACTAAAGGGACAAGATGCTAAATGCCGGAGAAAAGAATTCCATTCCGCCCTAAGTTATCACTGTCTACTTTGAGTATTTATGTATGTTGGAAATATATGCTGAGCATGGTTAATCGCGGGCCACTCCATATTAACGACACTAAATTTCCAGCTCGCTAAGACTCAAGTACTATTTCCTCGACAATATCCACCGGTTTACAAGGATACGAATCCTACAATCTAGACCTCCACACAAGGACAAGAAAATTAAGATGCAATGCCCATTAACGATGACACCATACATTATCAGCCAGTTCTATAGGGAAAAAAGCGACAATCATTCCACAGGTATCTGCAAGTTCCCATACCGTGGTGGGGTCAACGGTCGTATAGATAAAATTGCACAATCACTATGGGGATGGCATCATCAATGACAAGAAATGCGATCATTCAGGAAATTACATACAAAAGCCGCAGGATGAAGTTGGCATATATGCAAGGGACTATAACTTGTCATATATTTCGTTCGAAAAGGCCCCCGCTTGGCGTTTTGACAGCACTTGGACAAAACTTGAACATACACATAGAGCCATGAGCAACAAGGAAGACGAGGCCACAACTCGAAAAGCAGCAAAAGCTGTTGAAGAGAAATATGCAGATGTCACACTACGCATTATCGAAGACCATGGTGATGAATTCGGGCCCCTAAGTCCTGAGAAGGAGAAAACATTGCGCCGAAAGTTGTATTTCCATATTATGGTTTTGCTTTCTGCGATTAATATTGTACTGTTTGTGAGTTTATCTGCGATTGATTCAGAGATAAATTCTAATAATCGGCCTATAGATCGACAAGTCTACGCTTGGTTACGCAGCAATTCTCGGGCTTTTCGAGGAGACGGGCATTTCCAAAAAGCAGTACAACGATTTAAATACTGTGTTCTATATCGGTATGAGCGATTGCACTCACCTCTGCCATATGGGGGCGATTTCTGATATTAATTCAAGGCTACCTTGCCGCGCAATGGCCCGGACACTATCTAATGCAACGTCTACCCTTCGGAAAGTTTGTCAGTGTCATCGTCTTTCTATGGGCAGCTGTGATCTTCCTTCATTGCGTAGCCACTAAGTTCGCCGGCCTAGTAGTCCTCCGACTTGCCCTTGGTGCGGTGGAGGCGGTCATTGTACCCGCGATGGAAATGACTATCGGCATGTTCTTCAACCGTCAGGAACAATCATTCCTCCAGCCAATCCTCTGGGTAACTTGCCAAGGAGCCCCCATCGTGGCAGGTTTCATCGCATACGGTTTACTCTACAGCCATGGCGCAGTCCTTCCTTGGAAGCTTTTCATGATCGTCACCGGCGGAATTACCTTTGTCCTTTCTATCTGGGTTTGGTTCTGCTACCCGAGTAATCCAGCCGAAGCTCGGTTCCTGACTTTAGAAGAGAAAGTGCATGTTATCCGCCGAGTGCACGACTCCAGCCAGAGCTCGATCGAACAAAAGCGGTTCAAGAGGTCTCAGTTCGTCGAAACTCTGCGTGACCCTGTATCCTGGCTCTTCGCACTGCAGGCTTTCACACTGATGTACTCAAACAATCTCACCTATGGCCAACAGAATCTTCTCACGACTTCTCTCGGCGTTTCCCAACTAGGTTCCACGCTCGTCGCTGTGGCAGGGGGTAGCTTCGGTGTCGTACTTTGTATCGTCGCCACCTTCGTACTAAAATGGGTTCCAAAATATCTGGCGGTCCATGGGCTTTTCTGGTGTCTCCCTGCTATCGCTGGCGGAATCGGCATGGTAGCGATCCCCTGGGACAACAAACTCGCACTCTTAGCCTGTATGCTTCTCGCAGGACATACGTACGGTATCACCTATATCATCGCACTCGGCTGGACGACGTCTTCTGCAGCTGGATATACTAAGAAGCTCACACGCAACGTGATGTTCATGCTCGGCTACAGCGTCGGTAATCTCGTATCACCACAGATCTGGGTACCCAGTGCCGCACCTAGATACTACGGTGCATGGGTATCCATGATAGTGATTAGTTGGGCAGGGACGCCCGCTATCCTGTTTATCATCTGGTTTATTCTAGCGCGGCGAAACGAGGAACGAAGAAAGTGGATCGCGGAACTGAGTGACAGTGAGCGTGAGGAGGGCTGTGTGGAACAGTTGGATGAGAATGGGCAGATCATCCGAAGGAAAGTTGACCTTGCGATGCTGGATTGACTGATTTAGAGAATAAGTTCTTCATTTACCCTCTCTAAATCTAGATAGACTATGAGGGTAGTGACATCACAATGAATATCAAAATATATTGTTATCTTTGGGATCCGAAGTAATAATCCGAGTGTAGGTGGGGGAGTTTGGGGAGTATATTGCGATACACAGACAATTGGAGAGAACGAAAGAAAGGGAGCTTCAAGGGACACAGAGGGGGTTTGACGATAGAATGCATCGGTTGACCCGCCAGGCATCATAATAGCCTGGCTAGGATCATTACCACCACCACCGCCTGTCTCACAACTAAGCACTTGGGAGAACATGCTGACAAAACACACCTTGCCAAACAACCTGTACAACCCAAACAAGAAGCCAATGCCATGGAAATAAAGCTAGCTTAAGCTCTCAGTCGAATTGCCACTATTATATTTCTTGATGCCGTCTACGAGGCCCCTGATGTGCAGGAAGTGCCCAATACTAGTATCTCCTGTAAAAGCTCTCCGAAAAGGAGACCGGCCACATACCGGGCTCAGTTCAACAAACGACCCCGAGTTAACCTCTCAGAATACGCCGTCTGAGTTGACCCGTAACGAAGGCAAGGGGGACATTTTACGTGGCTTTTCTTCGGATGCAGAGTACTTACTGCCCGCTCACCTCCCTCGTCACGTCCAGCCCATCGGCTATCCCCATAATAGGTTTTTGCAGTCGTTTTGTGGTACACTATAAGATCATATTCCGGCAGTTAAGTCTCCCATAGGGTTCATCCGGCTACAACTCTCCGTTGTTCTCCAGCATGGAATTAGTCGGGGTGGAGTGCGCATACCCTGCAAGAGTGTAGCCATGGCTTGTATGTACTGTGAGCTGGTCCGGCGTGAGTCGGCTGTAGAACGTCAGTTCTTATCCTCCGAGAGATTACAGTGATACCAATCGTCTGTCCGTTGTTTGGTCCTGGTGCGAACCGACCGTTGAATGGTCTATATCTGTATGGTGTATCTTGTGGGGACTTGTACTGTATCAAAGTAACTTGAAATCTCTGGTACAGGTGGTCTGTCCATACAACGTTGTACGTATGTCATACCTGATGCAGGATATATGTGTGGGATACGTATGACTATTAGCGGGTGGGAGGGGTGGAAGAGCCTGTGTCTATTAGGCAAGGAGTGATGAGCAGGCGGTCAGTTATTGGCTTATGGTTTGGATGTCTAAATGCGAATGATAACATTATATTACTCATGAATGCCCAGGTATTGTACTAGGTCTTTCTGAAGGGAATGGGGACAATGAAACCATCTATCTATTCATTAATTCGCCATTCCCAACAATCACTCGCTAATGAAGTGGAAACTTGAGATAGACGTGATATCGTGTCTATTTACATATATGATTGCAGGCTCAAGCCATATGCCACTCTGTCCATGGTTTTATTCCAAGTTGATTATCAAAGATCGACGTATGTGAAGGAACAAGCTACGCTCAATACTTTATACAGTGTTCTACGCGACTGAGCGGTATGTATACCGAGTTATCTGACTGGCAAGACATCTTCGCTTTTTCAACTCGTCAACCTAGTTGTCTTTTTACATGAGCGTGGGCTATTTGATAACAGTTGATCCAACATTATACTACAAAAAGGCAACAGGGAATTAACTTGCTACCCGAGTGTGCCATCAACAGGAGATACTCATGCAAGTGAAAAAAATGTCTAGCATAGATACGGAAAGTGTCTCACGATGCTAAGAACCATTCTGAAACCCTGTAAACCAGCCTTTCTCAATATGGAAGTTATTGCCTCGGTGCCAGGCGAAGATTACGTGGCCGAAACTGTTGATAGTCGTTCGCTGGAACCGGTACTCCAAATAATGCGATTATAGCCCCAATTAGTCCAAAAAAATGAGAGAATGGATAAGAATAGGCGAAAGGAAGCCATAGAAGAACAAGAAAGCAAGGAGAGGCTAGAGATGCACTACATAACGGTCGTAAATCGTAGATCCCGCCGCACATGGTATCCTCCTCCACTATGGTAGTAGATTAAGAGAGATAGATGCGGAGCTGCGTATGGTTAGCATATAATTACTCAAAGCGGTGCAAAAAAGTACCTTCTGCTTCACAGGAGTGCGACAGAGTGGGCATAGCACCGCTGCCTTGGACCGGGGTCGATCCGACCGCGCATGTTGCTCAGCACACCAGCGACAAAGAATCGCATGTCCACAAGGAATGAGAACGGTATCCACAAGCTGGCTCATACAGATTTTGCACTCGAGGTTGACAGTCAGCTCCTCGTCATCCTTGGGTTCTGGACGCCCATCCTTCTGATCGTCCAACCCCTTGGCGTGCGATGCTGCTTCCTCCTGGTGACGACGATGCCGGCGAAAATAGGTTTCCTCGTATAGCTGCAAAGCATGGGTTTCATTGGATCGTGCAGAACGCAGTAGCTCTCTCATTTGGAGTCTTCGAGCGAGCTCTACTTGTTCCTGCTGAGTAAGTGGCGGGGCCAACTGAGTCTCGTTTCCTGTATTGGGCAAAACATGCGATGCTCCAGCCATCGTAGTGTGACTCCTGTGGATATGTGGTGCAAGCCCATTCGACATACTCGGTTCCCTTATAGACCGAGTTCGCAAATGTACATTTTGAGAATTTGCCCTGTTATGTTGCTGTTGGACAGACGGGGCGCTTGAAGCAATACTATGAGTGCGATGCTGCCGCCTATGATGAATTGATGTAGATGTGGGGGAGACTCCTGCTTGTGGAAACTGGCCATATGGGTGAGATCGAAATGATGCGTGCCGATTAAGCGAAGGAATTACAGGGACATCCTGGCTTGTCGTCCCTAGCGATGCCGAGTGGATATTAGTAGTATGCGGAACCTGGGCCATGTTTTGATATGGGATAAACTGCTGCAAGACCTGAGCTGGGTAAGGAAAAACGTCTTGATAGTAAGTATTCGGAGGTACGAATGGGGAAGTGCTCTGTCCAGTCGCTGCAGAGGGTCTTTGTAAGCCTGCTTGAGAAAACTCAGACCCCTGGGGCGCATTATTCCGGTACTGACTCTGCTCAGCGCTGTCCAGGTTTACTGATCCACCAAACTGGTTCTGCATGTTGGAAAATGTGTCATTGCCGTGCATATATTGCGGAGGAAACGTAGCAAATTGCTCAGGGATTTGAGAAAAAGAGAGGCCACTATTCGTTGTAGGTGTTCCAAACATATTTGGACCTGGGAGATCTGATCATCGATTAGCGGTTATGGGAGTTAAGAAAGAAACATTACTCACATAAACTACTGTTTGCGTTAGAAAGGCCATGCGGAGTATAAGGACTAGAGTTGACCGTCTGTGCGCTCAGAATACTGTGGCTTGTAGAGTTCTGCATGTTCAGTGGTCCGGAAGAGCCCACACCCCCAGGATTGTTCATAACCAAAGGTGACAGGCTGGGATTGATCCTGGGGAGCTCAGGAACATTGCTTGAGTCCCAGGAATTCGACACGACAGGTTGCGCCATGAGGAGAGACTCTGTCAACAATTGCAAGTTATTGAGAATTGTTAAAGTCCCGTGACGGATGGCCTGAAGCTCCTTACGGAGAGTTTCGATACTACCAGACTGAGATAGCCAACGACGTGGTAGCGCCGCCTGAAAGGGGGTTCGAGATGCGTCAGAGACGTTGTTAGACCGGGACGCGATGGAGTCTCCAGGGTAGGCTTCGGATGAAGATGGAATATCGGCCAAGGAGAGTAGCGGCAGATGGGGATTACAAGCACCCCAGTATTCTAAATCACAAGACCCGGACCTGTGAGCGATGTAGACAGTGAAGGTTCAAAACGAAAATGCACTAAAAAACATAAAAAAACTTTTGATGAGTAAAGTTGCGTAGACAATCAATGAGATAGGAAAGCTGTGCAGGTATAGGGACTGTAAGAATGGGAATACGGACCCTCACACCTCCAGCAGTATCTGGGACGGGTTGTCTCTGTACTATTCTGTGAAATATACTCCTCTGCAGTCGATCGATTTCTTCCTGGTAGATCCGAATAATACAACACACATAAGCAACAAACCGAGCTCAGATGAAGACAGCCGATAGCATGCTTGTGAGTGCAACTGGTACTGGTAGGTGAAGGGGACCAAGCAAACATCGTTTATGGCCAGTCGGTTCCAAACTTATTGGTGAGTGGACAAAGCAAGTATTTGGTAGATACTCTGCTTATAACCATGTCCAGCGATAACGAGTAGTCGACAGGTCAACCGATTTAAATATATTAGCACAAGGTGATGTCCGAATTCAAGGTCGCAAAGGAAAAGCAGGGTGAATTAATGGTGGGCAACCGTTCCCAAAATTTGGTTCTAGTAGTTATACGATAACTGCTGGCGACACAGACACCTCGGAGACATGATTTTTGTTTGGTTCCACACTCTCCAGTGAGATAGCAACTCTGAGGACAGGAATAGCCACGAAAGCTGATCTTGAGCGGCAACGGAAAGCTACCAACAAACTATCCTGTCGCCTTAGGAATATTTTGAAAGGATGTCGATTAGGCGCCTTCTTTTGACTTTTGTCTATCTTTTTTTTTTTTTTTTTTTTCCTTTTTCCCTCCTTGCTTTTCTTTCCTCAAAGTCTTTCAGATCAAGTCCACTATGAAGAGCCAAACGGGATGCAACCGTGAGAGGAAGCTGACAGCCTGACGTTTGGACAACGTTGCCAGCTCTAGACCTTAGCCCGGGCGAGTCGGGGGGAACAGCATCAGCGCCTGGCACTAGACTGCGCCTAAGGGGCAAGAAAGTAAAAGAAACCGCCAGGAATGGGCAAGGGTCGTTAGCCTCGGCGCCTAGAAGCCCACCGTGGAAGGTCTGCCCGGTTCTATCCAATTAGTGAGATCTTAAACCGAGTCTAGTTGCAGGGGATGTTGGTGTTGGGTTGGAGAAGGTGGAAAAAGAAAATAAACCAATTCAAATCGAATTTAAATAGACAAAAAAAAGGGCACAGAAAGCTGGGACTCTCCCGGGTTGGACCCCAAGAAAGTAAGCAGAAGCTCAGGCGGATATCAAGGTTACACCTCGCATGAATGATCCATTAAATAGAATGAATCAGGATTATAGTATATACGGCCCCGTCAGATGTTTCCAGATGATCGCAAAAGAATAGGAAATCAGAGAATCAAAAGAGGGGAACGGGAAGACGAAAAATACAACTCAGACAAAGACCCAAAGGACTGTCAGCGAACCGAGCGATCCACTGCTGCAGGGCCAGGGAGTTCAGCCGACCAGAGTTGCATGAGCAATGAGAATGAGGAAGTCATGATGATAAGAAAGGGTAGGACTAGACCTAGATTGGTACGAGTCCCGAGTCCACCGATCGGCGACTTCAAGAGTGGGGAACGGATTAGTTAATTCCAGATTGTTTGTCCTCCGTTGAATATAGTAACTGATGACAGAATGACTGGATACTAAATGAAACATAACGATGGCCTGTCCCTGATCTTGCCGCTTTAAATTTGTTTCACGTGAATACCTATTCTGGGGGACGGAGGCACAAAGCGGCGCTGTTGGTTTGTTTGCTTTGGTTCACAAGGTTTTCCTCGACGTCATCAGATCTCCAGAGCTCTTGGGCTCCACTTTAACTTCTTAAATTATCTCCACTTCCACTTCATCCGGCGTGCTGGTAGTACTACCTTGTTGGTAAGTCACCTCCGCGCGTGGATGCTGCTATCTCCTAGTCTCATCTTCTTACCGAAATTCTAGATTTCCTTTCGAGCCTGATCTCGCGTCGACCCGTTAAACGTTCCTTCTCACAAGTGGACTCATCCATGAGATTAGCCCGGTGGCTGTCCGTGCGGCCAACCCTTATATCGGTACCAACCAACATAACCAGAATTCCAATGTCCACTTTCACAATTCCGTGTGACCATGGTCAGCAATCCCTGTCTGTGGTTTGCACGCCTGATCTCAACAAGGATGATCTCTTGCGATTCCCGGCTTTCCAGGTCTGGCTGTCTACCCTGCGACAATCGTTAAAGCGGCAACAAGACCCCTCACACGAGTTCCACAAAGACCCTTATGTCCTACGCAAGATTGATATCCAGGCCGTTGATTTTTTTAAGGGAGGGCGGTTAGGGTTCGTGAAATTCAAAGCTGATGTATCAAACGGAAATGGCGAGTCACTCCCGGGGAGTGTTTTTCTTCGTGGAGGCAGTGTAGGAATGCTGGTAAGCCCTTTGAACTATCTCTCCTCATTCACCTGTCCGTTTCACTGTTTAACATTCGCGTCAACCGGTATTTCAATAGCTTCTACTTCAACCAGATGATGTACCCCCCTCAATGGAGGATGAAAAGCGAGCAATCTTGACCATTCAGCCCCGCATTCCTGCCGGTTCCCTTGCTTTCGCCGAAATCCCCGCCGGAATGCTTGACGATTCCGGCTCTTTCGCTGGAGGTGCAGCGAAGGAAATACAAGAAGAAACCGGCTTGACGATTCCTCAGGATGAACTGATCGATATGACCTCGCTTGCATTGCAATCAGTTGCAGGCACCGAGGGCGTGGAGACATTGCAGAAAGCTGTATATCCATCGGCTGGTGGAAGCGACGAGTTTATTCCTCTATTCCTGTGTCAGAAGCGAATGCCGCGTAAGGACATTGAAAGCCTACAGGGACGATTAACCGGGTTACGCGAGGATGGAGAGAAGATCACGCTAAAATTAGTTCCTTTGAAGGAATTATGGAAAGAGGGATTACGGGACGGAAAGACACTCGCATCATGGGCGTTGTATAAAGGGCTCAAGGAGGAGGGGAAAATCTAAATTAGACCTGGGCCTTCCCCTGACGACCACATCATCGCCTCGCCGTAGGTCTTTCAGCAGAGTGTCGAATGGATATCAGAGTGCATCACATTGACGTGTCTAACAACGCTAAGCCTCATCTATAAGCGGCAATTGAAAGTTCGTGCTATCACCAGCTCGAATCTATAGCTTCCACTTCTGTGCAAGTTCGATACCCTCTGCTATTGTTCCCACACGGGCATCAATAGCATATCCTTCGGCCTCAAGCTTTTTCATTTCATTGAAAAGCGAGGCCAGCGGCACTGTGAACGATTCGATGAATTCGTTTTCTTCGAGCTGTGGCTGCGGGTTCTGGTTCTCCGGCAAGGACATGTCTACTCGGACGTGAACCATATTGAGATTTGTGTTACAGAAACCGGGATCTGCGATCAGGTCCGTCAGCATTCTTCACTCAGATCTCCTGGAATGCAACTAGACACCCCACATGCAGTCAGATACGAAGCGCCGCCTTACCATTATACATCACAGTACTCGTTTGCTCCGCCACTCCCACATATCCCGTTTCCTCCTTAAGCTCGCGCACGGCACATTCTTCCACCGTCTCCCCAGCATCTATGAGACCCGCCGGAACCTCAATAACCACCTTGTCAATAGGAGGACGATACTGTTTCTGGAGAAGGAGTTCTGGACCCGTCGACTTGTTGAGAATGGTCACGATTCCCACGCCGTCGATTGCGCAGTTTGCTGGGCGGGTCTAGAAGTACAGAAGAACGTCAGCCAGATATTCAGACTGGAAGCCCTGAATACCCAAGTCTTCGTATAGGCAAGGGGTTTGTCCTTGTCGCACATTGAGGTCTGCACTTGAGGCCTCGCCACACTAGTACTGCGGCACAAAGGACTGGAATGACCTTACCTGCCGCTCCGCTGACTCCCACGTCCTTTCTACACCGGTAGGATCCCGGTAAGTAGTCTTGACTAATCTCGTCCATCTAGCCTCTTTAGGATCCTGTAGAAATGAACACCAACATCAGTATGAATTAGCAATCACCAAAACCCAATCTCTTGTAACAATTAAACCAAAACCCAAAGCATGAAAAGTGAATACATACCAACGGACCTCTAGCAATAATCTCCGACCTCAAAGCCTTAGGATCAGACATCGTACCAAGCTCCAACAGAACACAAAACAATCTGTTCAATTAACTTAATCCTACCCACAATCTAAACATCAACAATATAATAATCCCAAGATAATCCAACAAAACCCCTACCTATAAGTCAAGTGCAATGAAAGTACTATATACGAGATTCCCGGGTTGAAAGGGCACCAGTTAGTGTTAGTTAATGCTAGCTCGGAAGTTGTTGTCGGAGGGGCCGCGGACAAGAGGGGTCAGATTGTCTGATCCGCCGAAGGGCTAGCCCTAATCTTATGTGGGTCTGGGGAAATAATTCGGGATTTAGAGTTTCTTGGGGTCTTCCTATTCATGTACAGAGTACTTGTTTATTGAATCTGTTGCTTTGAGTTGTTTGTGAGTTGGGCTTGGTTGCCTTTTCTTTGTTTGCTTGGAGAATTAGAACTACTACAAAAGTTGGCTATGGGGTATGTATTATGAAGAGGGAGAGGGGTAAGAAAAGAAACAATTTGCAGTATGTACCGGAAAGAGAAAGTAAAAAAGGTTTGCGCCTGGTATCTTTCGGTCTTTAGCATTCTAGAGCAGAAAAGAGAGAATAGCGAACAAACGAAAAGAAAAGTGAAAGAAAAGGATACAAGAGGACAAGGAAACCAAAATGACAAAAAGCTCACTCTCTGTTCCCGCGCCAAGCATGCTTTAAGCACCGGCGTCAATAAGGAGGGCTACAAAGCACCGAAGAATTTTACAGGAGGGGTCCTAGAGGCGAGCAGAAGCAATTTCGACCCTGCACGAGCCTAGGACTAAGGGGGGGGGGGGGGGTCGGGGGGCTCGGAACCAGCGAGGCTGGTGGCTTACCGCTCGACCATTGACCCCCGGTTAAACTTACTGGTATTGTCGGACACTTAAAGCATCTGCTTACGAGGGTGCGTGGGAGATAAAGCAGCTGCGAGGGGCCTCGTGGGTCAGGCAGCAGAGTAGCATGCCTGGGAACAACGAGTCGGGAACTAAGACTGCTTGTGGCCGGTTTGCAGTCTAGTTTGGACCAGTGATCTTGTGCGATATGGAGCATGTGAAAGACGTGGGCTATGATTGCCCCGGAATTCTTTGATTAGGTGCATTTAGCGCTGGTGTCGTGTTGATGGTGGGCTGTCACTACTGTACATTCCCGTCTACTAGGAAGATAACTGGGGCCTTGATAAGAATTGTGGAGAACAGTTTCTATTGTATGTCTACACTCTGCAGATGTCCTCACTACGTATCTCTGTCCATGGAACCTGTCTATGGATAAGGTTGAATAATGTCAGATACATGGATCCGACCATCTTGTGAAATAATTGAGGTTAAGAAGGGAAATAGTCGAGCCCTTGCAAAGGAGAGACCCCGCAGACGGTTAAGCTGATCGAGTGAATTGAATATAATAGTCGAAATGAGAAATTAAGTGTAATCGAAGATAGCGGCCTATGCTTAATGGCGACCAAATGCGCTTGCTGTCATTACTTCGTGTCGACATTCGGAAGAGGCGATGGCTGATGAGATGAATAGGCTGCTCAAGCTGATTCGATTTGAGAGAGACAATCCTGGAACTCTGACCAATCGTTCATGATGACCTTGGCACCAAGCTCCTTAAGGAATTTCGCCATTTCGACCTTCTTCTCATCGCCGGGGTAGCTGCCAACGTAGCCGATGACGTGAATGCCGGCACGGATAGCACTAAGAGCGCCAGACTTGCTGTCCTCGATAGTAACAGTCTCTTCTGGCTTCTTATTACACTTTTCAAGGGCGTGGAGGTAGATGGCTGGGTCGGGCTTGGAGGTGGGCTTGGGGAGAGAGGTCGCAGCACTGAAGACCATATCCTCGTCAAAGAACTTGTCCTGCCCGACTTTCTTGATGGAGGCCTGGACACGGCGCAAGGCAGATGAGGAGACAACTGCCAAGTGGTACTTCTTGGCCTCATACAACTTCTCAAGTTCCTCAGTGGCACCAACGCAAGGCTGGGCTTTCGCTTCCAGCTTAGCAATAACTTTGTCCTCCTCCTTCTTAACGAATGCTTCGAGTTCGTCTCCAGGCATGTCGAAGTTGTACTTGGCTTGAAGGGAGATCATCATTCCACGGAAGTTCTGACCGACGAAGTCTTGGATCAGCTGCTCCCCTGTGTAGCGATCAGAGATATGGCGGCTCTCCAGGATCTCATTTGTAAGGTCGGCGCATGCCTCAAAGGCCAGCTCCTCAGAGAGGACTAGTGTGTTATCGCAATCAAAGAAGATTTCGGTAATCTAAGTGGTAGCAAGGTTAGTTGGCCATGACTCAGTGGTAACAGGCATCAGAGAGGCTTATGGCTAACCTTAGGCATGATGACTGCAGTGGATTGGATTGGATGGTATTCTGTGTTAGGGATAGAGGTAAAGTGTAGATGTGATGTCAGGTTTGAAGAGAGATATTAGGAATTCCGGAGTGGTGGTGAGTAGAGAGAATGAAAAAGTGGTGATGACCAGGGGAAGGGCTGTTGAGTGAATGGTACAAAGAAACTTTGGTTGGAGGGACCGTTGTACGCTTTAAGTAGAATCGTGAAAGAGGAAAGTGGCCAAGGGGTTTTTGATCCTATCAGGGTACCAAGACCACGACGCTACACATGGGAGCCCACCGGTGATCCAAAGGGGGGCATATGCATACAATGGCATAACAACCCCTCCGAGGAAGGCGGCATGGCGGGGGCCTGAGGTCATATCGTGACGTTCGCGACTGGGCATGGACCTATAATGGCGGCCGAGATACGGCGGCCATCGGGTCTACATGCAGCACACTAAACTGAAGTTAGCAAGCACCCGCTGCCATTCCCTCTTCGGGTAACGCTGCCTGCCCCCTCTCACTAGCCCATTCAAGTATAGCGCTGTACCCTCAGGGCTGATGGAAATGCAAAGAAACTGGATTGCGCAGTTGCGAATCGGCTGGAAGACTCTTTGTGTTTCAGTTGTGTTTATTTTTCGTCAACTTTCTGCGTTAACCATACAATAGGATCGCGACTTTTGCTACATTACGGAGTAACTGTGGATGACAGAACAAACCACGGTTGTGCGCGGCCTTTTGATCTTAGAAGTGTGGCCTTTCCACGCAATTGAATCTTGGGTCAATTAAACAAAACGCGCAATGGTTCGAAAGCCCTGGTGGTTGATAACTATATCTCCTTCAGTTCCCGTAGGCTGCCGATCAAACATGGCTCTGAAAGGAATCACAAGAGGTTCTCCTGTAATCGATGTGGGTGTGATGATTACTTCCTGGATACAAAAGGCGATTTGGCTGTTCGCCTGCTGCTGGACAAGGGGAGGCATCTGGTTGGGTTGCTGGCGTAGCTGATCGACTGCTTGCCTTGTAACAGGCCTTGGAAAGTTTGGAGGAACGAGCTGCCATTTCTCGAACCTTATTTCCCTCATGGCCTTTTTTATCGAGATGACAAGGACTATTCTGGTGTCCCCAGAGGAATTTTGCAACCACCAAGTAGCGTCTCGGCGTAGCTTTGCCAAAGATTCTGAAACTCCTGTTTCTATCACAAGCGACGGCCAACCATTGAACTGACCAGCAAGAGGCTGGCGGTTAGGGGGGTAAAAACAGTCGTCCGGCTCTTTGCCATGGGTAGTAATGGTGCCAGGTGTCGTAACTGTATATCCCCAAACAAGCTCATTGTCTGGCACCCCCATCCGAACACACTGCCGGTCGATGTAGTGGTCCACATCAGATGTGGTCAGATCATGTTCAATTGATGGAACTACTTTGAGAAGTCCTGTCGTCCCAATCCACATAAATCGAAACTCGATGCCCGACAGGCAGCTGTGGTCATTGCTCAGCCTTTCGATGGTAGTTCGTGATATGCCATTGATAAGCAGCCATTGGTTGCCTTGCCCATTATTCTTCTCTAACTGATTATGGATGGCTTTCACCGCGTTCTTTAATTCCTTTAGGGTGGAGTATGACTGGAGCTGATAACCCTGTGGCAAGTCAGCCACAAGGTCGTATCTATCACTGATCACGGTGGGGGGCGCTCGCTCGAGGCACGCCGATGAGGGCGACACATGGCCGGGTCTGACGAGGCATCAGTAATGTAGGTTGCCATTGCGGAATCAAATTCAAGTCAAGAGTTGAGCAAGAGTAATTTGAGAAGGGGTACTGTAAGTTGGATCGAGGAGCAACAAAGTAGATGTAATGAGAGTATTGTGAGAGGTATTTGCGGGAAGAGAAGCGGATGTGAAGAGAGTATTTTGAGAGATATTTGCCGGATAACAGGCGGGTGTGAAGTTCAGGAAGGTATGAACAAGACAAACGCTGTATGGAGAAGGCGAGAAGGTGATGTCGAGAATGAGAAGTTGCGGGCATGTTTATGCTTGAAGAGCTACTAGTATATTCACATACCATTCTCCATTGTTAGATTAACAAGAATATGCAGCGGATTTAATAAGATTTGAATTGTGAATACTGTAGGAGGTAGTAGTATTGTTCTCTACAGAGCATATTTAGGGATTGTCAATCTAAATCATACATGCGTAATGTAGTAGCAATGATGATTATGGTCCAGGGCCGGATAAATCAATTATCCATTGTCAAGGCAAGCAAACCTGAGGAAAGCTTAGGAGAGGCTAAAGTTCATAAATAGGCCCATCCAGTAGACCTTCAGCCTAGATAGTCGTAGTCATATCGGTAAATTGCGTGCGACAAGCTCCTCCATATAAGTCTACGTGGACGGCGGTGAATTGACCACAATGTCACCACATACAAGCTAGGTGCCTTCCTTCAGACATTAAAGCTGTATTAATAGCTCCTACCTATTCATTTCTTGAGGATATCCACTTAGGTAAATCCCAGATCTCTAAATAAGTATAATTTTGGTACTAACCATGCAACTGAGAACTTTGCAGGAAGCTCTGGCAGCAATAGGTATCACACTGAAGGGATATTGTATGCAAGAATCTTTGAATGCCTTGATAAATCTATTATAAAGTTCTCAGACACTAGAGATATCTATAGTGTATCGTATTGTACCGAGACTTTACCAGGGAGTTATACAAAGAGTCAATGACATGTAACCTACAGAGTCAGGTACTGAAATCAGATATCGGCATACAAACTGCTGTCAGATGCTCCATTCTCCACTCTGAGTCGATCTCTTGAACGCCACCGCCCAATAACATTGGCCTCGATGGGGCTTGAGGCCGAGTCATCATTGGCTAATTTATCAGGACCGTTATGGGCCCCTCTTTTTTTCACTTATGATCCTTCTGCGTAACTTGACGGAGGGGACATAGTCTAGCGATTGTAAACTATTTCCTATTTTAAGCAGCCTACTTGTTAATATTTTCGCCCAAGACATTCCCGCCCGTGACCAAAATGGATGGTGATTCTGATCCCTTTCCGGTGTCCGTATCGTCTCTTCATTTCCCCTCCAAAGAGCAAACTATTTCCCAAACTCTGTCGTCCTTGCGGCGATCAGCCCTCTCCATCACAAACAGACTTCAATCAATTGAAACAGACGCCACCTTTATCCATGAAGTTGCTGGCTACTACGACCTCCCCTTGGTCGCCAACGAGAGATGTGGTAGTTGGTATATCCCACCGGAGGCCAAAGCTGGCAGCGCTTACTTCAAGAGCACGGATGGTCATACGGGCCAATGGGACTTTAGCTTCCGTAGACTAAACCTGCAGATTCTACCCATTGCTCGGACGCATGGAGGGTAAGTGAGCGTATCACGGCTCCTTCAAAATCTCCCTTCGGTCCGCTTCTCCCTGGACTACCGCTAACCACCAATGATGACTGCAGCTGCATCATTGTTGACTCAACACGCCGGGGGAAATGTAAGTGCTGACGACCACTTTATTGATATTCGGCTATTTGTGTCACACTGTCTCACAAGCCGCCAGTGATGCCTGATGCCTTATCCAAGACGGTTCCGATCTGGTGTGCGGTCATCAATCGAGCACTATTTCCGTCCGACACTATATACCATCCCGTGCAATTCCCGCCGAACTTTTTGGGCGCCTCCGAAGAGTCGCAGATTGAGCACAGGATCGACGGTTTTGTCAAGTCGCTAAAGGTAACCTTTCCCGAAAGGGTGTGACTGTGCCCTATTTGAACATAGGCTGATTGGCTTCTAGGATCTCAAGCTCGATTTAGATGATCTCAAGCAAAAATTAGGAAAGCCGATTCGAGTCGCCTGGGCGAATCGCTCGTATTTTCATCCAACTGATTTGCAAAAGGGAGATGCATATAATCTCTTTGTTCTCTGCTCTGCTTCCAAGCGTGTCCATGGCGCGGAAATATCGGAGGGTGGTTACATTCAAGGAGCAGGAGACGATAGTGAGGGTTGGGCTCACGGGCTAACGCCACCAGTTTTCTGGGCACACAAGTCCACTCTTGCTGCCACCGGAGAGGAAGATCTACCGGAACTTATCGAGAGATTGGTAGAAGAACACCGAAAGCAAGATGGCGGCCAGCAAGCTACTTTGATAACGCCGACCCGTAACTTGTATATCAGCCCAACAGACCCTAGGTTAAACGAGGGTGGTACTTATGATCTGGTCATTGATTGCAACGGAAACCCGGAGGCCTCAGAGGGCAGTTCAAAGCGACTAAACCTTGGTTGCGGAGTTTCTAAGCTGGGGAGTCGCGACCTACGGAAGCATCTACATCAGGTCCTAGCATTTGCCAGTTCTCAGCTGGAGTCGAGCCCGTCACAGTCACTGCTCGTAACATGCGAGACTGGGAAAGATCTTTCCGCAGGCGCGTTGCTCGCCATATTGTGCCTCTGTTATGACGATGAGGGTAATTATTCATCCGTCCGTTCTCAATTTGATCATGCTAATCATGCAACAGGAAACTTTGCTGGATCTCATGCAAAAAACAAGATCGACAAGCAATTCATCCGACAGCGACTTGCCTGGATCGTGTCCTCCAAACATGACGTGAACCCTTCGCGCGCTACACTCCAATCTGTCAACGCATTTCTTATGGAACGGCCAGATTATTAACAAGTAGATTCTTTGGCGTTTCGCCTGTGGCTCAGGTGCATCTTTATTCATCATACATCATAGCGTGTATCTATTCGTTTTCAACGGCCTCCACAATAGCCCCAGCACTTCCCTGGTCCAGGGCATTCAACACAGCCATATCCTCCTCGCTTATTTCAAAGCCAAATACATTGGCGTTGGCCACGATCCGATCAGGGTTATCGGACTTGGGCAGCGGTACCCATCCCTTCTGCAGAGCGTAGCGTACCAAGACCTGCTGGGTTGTCTTTCCATATTTCTTCGCCAGGTCGACAAGCGTAGGATCGCTCGCTTTATAGTTACGCACAATCGGAGAGTAAGCCTCAACAACGATGCCATGCTTCTTACAATACGCATCGACAACCCGCTGTTGACACCAAGGATGGAGCTAGTAGGCGGATAGTCAGTATAATCCACACTCGTCTATTAAATCACAGCCAGGGCAGACAAGCTCACCTCAATCTGGTTTACATGCGGCGGCCAAACCTTCGCATACGACTTCATCTCCTCAATGTGCTTCACACCCCAGTTGCTAACACCAATACTCTTTGTCTTCCCTTCCTCCAAGAGTCTTTCCAGGGCCTGCCACATCTCCTTCCGACCCAACGCGCCCGAGTTGGCGCTATGAATCAGAAACAAATCCACATAACCATCCGGACCCCCAATCTTCTCCACGCTGGCCAGCAGCTTACTATAGGTCGCATCAGGCGAGCCACCGGGGACAAGGATCTTAGTAGTCACGAATATTTCGTTGCGCGGGATACCCGAGGCGCGAATCGCATCGCCGACCTCCTTCTCATTCGCGTAGAACTGAGCCGTATCAACATGGCGATAACCTGCCTCCAAAGCCTTCGAAGTCGACAGCACACACTGAGTCGGGGGCGAGCGATAAACACCGAACCCAAGGCGGGGAATTCGAACCGCCGAGTTGGGGAGGGGTACCAAATCCGTGATGGTCAGTTTTGCAGCCATGATAAAATCACGCAAGGGTCACTTCTACCCGCAAACAAAACCCCAAAATCAAAAATCAAAAATAAAAAGAGGCGTCTAAGCTCAAGACAATTCCCGTAAAAGCCGACCGACTCAAACAACAAATGTAACCAGGAAGTTCGAGACCCGAAGCCGCGAGCAGAAGGGATTCGGCTGTGGTAGGTTGGCGCGGGCGACAATTGCCCCGCCCCGAACATGATATCATACCGAAAGGGAAATCCCCGGTCTAAACCCCTTCCGGTGGAAATAGCTACTATTACTTCATCGGGTAAACCCACCATGAACAAACTCCATCCGAACTGACTCAACTCTCCTCTCGGTTACATTCGCTCTGATGATTGCGATCGTTACACCCCTCCCGCAGTGCCGAACTCCTCCGCGGTGACCTTTTTGACGTTTCTTGACTCTTACATCGGAGGCCTTGTTAGTAGATTAGAAGCGCCCTTGCTTGAATACGGGAACGTGCCACGCGGGATCGAATCTCTGCCGTACCACGTGCGCCCTCTCTGTACGAAGTCAATGAAATGTAAGGGATTTTGGTTGCCATCCCTTGCGACGAGACTTGGGGGCCAGATTTAGATGATGCGAACAGTTGGGTTTGTCGGGCGGAATAGACTTTTTCTTTTTCTTCTTGAGCGAAATCTTATGATGCAGGTATCATTGTCGCTGGGGAGCTATGAGACTTTTTAATTCGGATACGAATATGCGGTACGTACTTGCAGCCTGCAGGTGGCTTTTAATCCCTCATTATGCATGATAGTGCTCCGATTGGGATCAAGAAAAATACAAGCAAAAGCAATGAACATACTTTCGGAATTGCCGTCCTTGGCTTAGCATAGCTGTACAAGTGTTTACAGGGATTGTACCGATTCGTGAGCATATACTTTCCAGCAAGGTACGATACGCGAGAGTTTTCTTTCGAAATAAATTTACACTTTTTATGTTACTTTGCAAAAGAGACGAACAGGGTTAAATGAGAGGATTCCTCTAAATATATGTTCTATCGTTCATAAATATACATAGACACATTGATGCTAAAAAACGCGACATGACTATAAACAAAAGACGGGTATCTGTACAGGGGTGATCCGTTCACCGGCAGGGATGGCTTCGGCTAACCCATGGCGGCTGTGTTGGGGGAGTACCCGACCTATGGCTTGTATTTCAAGGCCATAAAGAGGGGGTGCAGGCGGCATTTGAACCTATTACGTAAAATTAATCACACCTTTGCAATCCCCCTCATCTTCATCTCATGATGATTCTGCTGCTGACAGGCAGAGAAATGAAGGATCCACAACGCCTTTTGATAACACCAAGCTACTGGTTTATCATTGGATTAGCCACTTTGCCCGCCTGCTGTGAGACGGTAAGGGGTAACAGCTAGCTAAAAGTCAAAAGTTTAGGCTGGGGGACTGCATGAGAAGACGCCTCTAACGCTGCCCTCGCGGTAGTTGATGATCTAGTAAGATAGTATGAGCATTTGAGTTTGGATGGAAGAGAGGATAAGCCAAAACTTACAATATCATCAATACTGGAGTAGGTGCCACCGACAAGCGTGACAAGACCGATGAGCAACACGATCACATTGATAGTACCCAGAACTAGGTTCTTGGGCTCATTCCATTTGCCCTCGCGGATGAGAATGAACCACATCAAGGCGGGGAAGTAGAAAGTGAAACCGGAGACGAACAAAGCCGAGCAGATCGACAGCAGATCGTTGAAGAAGGGGATAACTTCGGCAATAACAAAAGCGACAAGGGTAGCCACAGTGATAACCGCCAACCAGGTAATCCATCCCATCTTGGTGTTGATGTATCGGATAGGAGAGTTCTTGAAAATGCGGCCATGAACCAAACGGCCCAGCACGACGGTGTTGATAGAACCACTGATGAAAATAACGGGAAGGGCGATACCGAAGGCCACTTTGCTCAACATATTACCAGCGGAAAGCAGGGCGGGGCTACCCACATCAACACCAACAAAGGCATAGATCAGCGAACCAGTCAAGGTGTAGATAACAATCTCGGTAATGCCCAAAGCCCAGATAGACTTGACGTAGTCCTTAGGGGTGTGCATTTCATCCATGAATGAGAACTGGCAGAGAGCGAAACTGTAGGCGAAGATAATATTGGAGATTGCAATGAAACCGTCGGTGAAGGTGAGGCCTTCCTGTGGCCAGGCAGACCAATTGACATTGGAGAGTCCAATCTCCCTAGTACTCTTGACACCGGTGCCGATGATGGTGATACCAATTGCGACAATAATAGAGACGAAGTCGATGTAACCCAGGATAGCCATTTCGGTGAAACTCGGCGGCACTGCGAGGAGTAGCAGAATCACAGCAGACACGACTCCCCAAACAACGGCGCAGACATCACTGCTGGTGATGTTCGCAAACGCAATCGTACCAGTCAAACAATGCGAGCCGGTAAGGAAGAGAAGTTCCAGGATGAGCATAATGTTGATCAGTTCTTTGCCGAAGCGACCAAACATAAGCTGGCCAGCGTCGGGGTAGTGAGCGACATGTGGGAACTTCAACTTCACTTGACCGATAATGTGGCTAGTATAGACAGCGACGAGACCCAAACCAACGGTACAGATGACACCAGCCACCATACCAAGCTTCGCGAAACTAGAAGGAATGGACAAACTTCCGAGGGCAACGGCCTCCACAATAAGCACAACGGTGAGACGCTTCCAACCGAGACGGCTGAACTTATGGATACCATCCTCGATTATATCCCTTTCCCTCTCATCCATTTCACCAACCAAGTCCCCATCATAGTGAGGGGGAACACCAAGCTTCTCGGCCCCAGCCTCCATGGCTTTGTTATTGGCCTTGTCGAGGTCAGAAATATCTTCTGAGGAGTAGCCCATTGTGAAAGTTTGGGGGGGGGGGGGTTGGAGGGGATGCTGAGAAAGTGAGAACGAGGAAGGGACGAGAAGGGAAGAAGGTGTAGGCTGTTTCCCTGTCGGACCACTTTCCTGAGAGTCTGGGAAGGGAGCAGAATTTGAGGAAAGTCCGGCCACGGTAGTTATATAATCGATGTACCAGACTTGGACCGATTTGGAAGCCAGCAGAAAGGACTCGGAAGGGCACCGTATACTTTGCCACTAAGCCTGTGCTCGCCGGTTGCCCAAGAGGGCTTGCATGAAACTGCTGTGGTGTGATTGGGTTTGGAATTTCGAAAGAATCATGATAGTGTGTTTTTTTCCGTTACTAATAAGATTTGGTGGCGTTACGTTTATCTTGAATGGTCGAACCATATGGAGAACAAGCTCACTCCAACTGCTGGTCTGACCAACCAGATCTCAGGTCAGCCCGTCCACGAATCCGGATCTGATCTAGTGTGAAACTCTCGGGATTCAGTCAATTAGCCTCAGCCACCGAATGATAACGGTAGAGGGAAAAAAAAAATACTACAGAGAGGCTAATTGTGACATGATTGCAACTGGTAAGAGTAAAACGTGGGGATGTTGGGGACGAAAGTGGGCATCCGCTCACGTTCCTCCCCAATAAACATCTTGATACTGCGTATCTTCGGTGGGCTATCAGTTTTTAAAGTCGACGACAACGTGGCAAAGCAAAGCAAGTACGGTAACATTCCTCCGTCCTCTGTCTCTTGTCACGCAATACTTATTCCAATCAACACCCCGAGTCAAGAGGTCATTGATTATATCTCACCGCTTGGTACGCCGTACCTCTCAATACGATTATGGTTTGCCTGAAACCTTTTACCTAAATCACTACCACCATCATTTTGTGGGGATCAATTTTCCACCATTGAACATACTCCCGAATTTCAACTAATTTTAGGCTTCTTTCGTCGATTCATGCATGCGCTCCTCCGAGCGGGCCATGTTGGAGAACATTGGAGAACCGACAGGGATGTTCGGTGGGTAGACGCGGCGACAGAATAAGATGCAGTCCGGTGGTGATGTGACCTTGACTTCTACCGAGTATGCCATGTGCAGCAATTCTATGACAAACTGCCAAGTGCTGTATAGCTCCCTAAACTATATCGCTACCAATATATTTGTTCGCCCAGTCTCACCAAGACTTCTTGGAAGTTCTAGGCGCTTCAAATTTTTCACTCTTATGCATTTGTCAGAGGGCTTGGTAAGCCCTACTAGGTTGCCTGATGAATGCCTGAGCCCTGCCAAGTTTTCAAGGTTCCAAAAGCGGCACTCCGCATTGGTCGTAGCAACGTGGGTCCTCACGGCTTCGGGGCCCAGTAGCTTTCCTGAATCTTCCGAAGGATCGGCACCATTGCCCGCTTCTTTCATCAATTCAAATTCTATCTCTTGAGGGGATTTAATATACTTGCAGATCCGGACAAGTGCTCCGTACATAGTGAGCGGTACTATAATTTCAAGCTTACTGTGTTATCTGGAAGTGTCCTAACCTTCTTTGTGTAGGAAATTTTTCTTTTTTTCTTTTTTAAAGAGTCATATGTGTCCGGTATTATGATGGAATGTTTCACCGTAGAATATCCGTTATCAGTTACTCAATACGATCCTTATTGATAGAGAATCTCTCTTTATCTTCATGGTTGATCTGTACACCCCCTTTGTTACCGGGAAACTCTTATCGCCTTTTTACAGTCAAGCGGTGAATGTCTTTGAAGGGATCTACTCCTTAAAAGGGGTATCATGAAGATCTAAATAGTATAAGACCGGAGCGGGTTAACTTCGGGTCGAGAAAGGTTGAAGCGTACCGAAATGGGCATATAAACGAAAGCGTGCTGAAGAGGAGAAGACTCCGCAAAAAGAAGTTTAAGGATGTCCCAGTCTAAAGAAAGGATCTTCGCTTACTCCGTCTAAAACCGAGAACCTGACGCATTTCCATTTCTGTGATGGGTGTTTGTTAAAACCTCTAGGTTGAAGTATTGAAAAATTAAAAGATCTTCTTTTTCGCTCTCCCTCTCCCTTGCATTCTCTTCTTCGCCTTGATTCTCGTCAATAAAAGAACAGACTAATCTATGATTGCCATACTCTGATCTTAAATTCTACAAAGTCTAAAGTCGAGTTCCTTGCGAAACCTGGGGAAATGCAAGACCTGGTTCTTCTGTTTGGTGAGGCTGATATTCACGGTCCAATCTGGTGTTCATAGTGGTTTCTCTCCCAATATAATGATCCTTTCTTAATTATTGTCTTTTTTTGTCTTCAAAATTTCTCCGACCTCTTTCCCCATGCTGTGACCTGCATATAAGCTAAAATTTCGCATCGCTGGAATCTGTGGAGAGAGTTTCCCCCAAGGATTGACATGAAGAATGGGCTTGGTTGCTGTGGGGGCGGCAAAGGTTTGTTGACATGGCCAACTCAGGGATAGCGGTGCTGCCAGGTTCGAAGTACGAACTCCTAATCTTAGCTCACTAATTATTACCCTCTCCGCTCACTGTGCTTCCAGCCACTAAAACAGGCTTAACACTTGCATCGTTTACCGCTTTGTTTCCTTTCTAATTAGTTCCGTCTGAAGATCCTACCATTTCCATTCAAGGATTACCCCTCTATCAAACTGTATCCCTCGTCTGGGTTACTATTCGGCGCTATCTCCAGCCTCCCTTCGGACCAGCCCTGAATGTCCTACATCATTACAGCTATTCACCATGTTGACGGTTGAAAAGTCATGGGTCAATGTTCAGCAGAAAACCTTTACAAAATGGTCAGTTTCCACTAGCCGCCCACTGTTGCTTCCCCTTGATCGGAGTCGACCCCGTGCGTCTATCGGATCCCTTGATCTCATCCTGCCTTAACCTTTCTCATCCATTTTTGGGTCCCATTCAGCTGACACTGGTGATCTTCCAGGCTCAATGATAAGTTGAAGGTCCGAAGACTCTTCATTGAAGATCTAGTATCTGACCTCTCCAACGGCGTGAGTGAGCCCCGCTACCCGACACCTCGATAAGCCTTACCCTTGCCTCTACCAAGTCTTCGGAAAGACAAAATAATCAAAAAGGAGAGGGGATGAGAGACATGATGCGCAGATACTTACAAAGCTAACCTAGATCATCCTCATTCACCTTCTCGAAATCCTCGGCGGCGAGCCCCTCGGTAAATATGCCTCGAATCCCAGATTGCGCGTGCAAAAATTTGAAAATGTCAACAAGAGTCTGGACACTATCAAGGGGAGGGGAATTCAGATGACAAACATCGGTGCAGAGGACGTCGTTGATGGCAATAGGAAGATCATCTTAGGGCTAATATGGACTCTCATTCTGAGATTCACCATCAGCGATATCAATGAGGAAGGTATGACCGCAAAGGAGGGTCTACTGCTGTGGTGTCAAAGGAAAACCGCCTGCTACGAGGAAGTTGAGGTCCGGGACTTTTCCACTAGCTGGAACGATGGTCTGGCGTTTTGTGCCCTTCTGGATATACATCGCCCTGACTTAATCGACTTCGACGCGCTTGATAAAAAGGACCACCGTGGGAACATGAAATTGGCATTTGAAATTGCTGCTAATGAAATCGGCATTCCCGACCTGCTTGATGTGGACGATGTCTGCGATGTCCCAAGACCTGATGAGCGGTCTTTGATGACTTACATCGCATATTGGTTTCATGCCTTCTCCCAACTGGAGCGAGTCGAGAATGCCGGTAGGCGAGTCGAAAAGTTCATCAACAACATGCATGGCGCTTGGGAAATGCAGAACTCATATGAAAGAAGAATGAAGGAACTTCTGCGCCTCATCAGGGTCCAACGCGAAGAATGGAAGAACGCTTCTTTCGAAGGAACGTACAAGGATGCCAAGGACCAGGCCTATCAATTTTCCTTGTACAAGCGAAAACAGAAACGACAATGGGTAGCTGAAAAATCCGACCTCGCTGCCCTTTTGGGTAACATCAAAACCAAGCTCAGCACCTACCGTCTCCGCCCCTATGACCCCCCCGCAGAGCTAAGTCTTGAAGTTTGCGATCAAGAATGGGAATGTCTAACGCGCGATGAGCATGAACGTAGTCAACTCATTAACGAGACGATTCGAGATATCAAGAACGCCCTACGTCGTTCCTTCGCGGACAAAGCGAATGACTTCGCACTAACTCTGAAGACTCTATCTCTTGCAATATCAGGTCTTGATGGCGATGTAGAAGACCAATTAGCCCATGTTAAGAGACTCAATGACAACCTTCCTCCCCTTGATGCGTTTTTAGATACTATTGCGGAGATAGACGAGCAGTGTGTGGAAGCGAACATTGAAGAGAACGACTACACAACATATACACTAGATGAACTCTCCTACGAGTTGAGCCTAGTCAAGTCGAGCATCTCCAAGAAGTTAGCCTTCCTTGACAATCAGCTTGTGGCTCGGAACATGACGAATTTGACCCCGATCCAGTTGGAAGAGTTTGAATCAGTATTTAGACATTTCGATCGCGACTCCTCAAACACCCTTCATGAGCTTGAGTTCTCTGCTGCCCTTGCCAGTCTTGGACTAGTATATGATGAGGATGAGATGCACGAGGTGTACGTTGAGACGTGTGGCCCAGCTAGATTAGCACAGAACGCCGGAGTTAGCTTCGAACAGTTTATCCGTTTCATGGTCAGTGTGACTGAGGATCAAAACACAGCCGAACAAGTGTTGCAGAGTTTCCGTGAAGTCGCAGATGGCAAGGTATGTTCCAATCAGGAGGCTACATCGCCTTGTTTCGTGCAATCACTGACTTTGAATAGCCATATGTCACAGAACTTGATCTTCGACACTCACTTATCCCCGATGAAGTGATTGACCATCTTGTTCAGACCATGCCTAGACATGAAGTGTTTGACCGGGGTGAAGACCAAAATGAACCCAAGTACGACTACTACAGCTTCATGGAGAAGATGATGGAGAGTGGCAACTGTGGACAGAGTAATGCCGCTTCCAATGGCGGGGCTTAATGACGTTTCGTATCGCACCATTGGCGTTTTGTCTTTTCTTTCACATCCTCTAATATTTTGCTATTGGAAGCTGCTACTGGTGTTCTCTGGAGCTATAGGGAGGGATATGTCTTGATCGGCGACGACATGGAATATGCATACCGGACTATGACGAGACTTTTGTTGGTGTTCTTGCATCGCATCCTGGATTTACTTTGTCTCTACTCCCTCTATGATGCCTTTTGGCCACTGCTCACGTGTACACCACATTGATGGGGGTGGAAGTAGTTGTGGAAATAAACACAGTATCAATAACCACAACTGTAATGCTAAGGAGATGCCTTTCATCATGAACTTATTCCTGAATCCCGATTTTAAGAAATCGTGACATGTACAGTATGTGTCACGTGACAATTCGTTCCGCCCGAGCTGTCTGGACCGTGTCTCCGGCCTAGTGTTTCTCTTTCTCCGGCTCACCTTAACCTCAACCTCAACACTCTCTCCCTTTATCTACTGTGTACGTTTGTACTTTGACTTTTAGATATTTCTCCTGCTTGACAGCAACTTATCTCGTTTCTTTACTGTAGCGATACCTTCCATGTCCACCATGGACCGCAGCTTGGATGAGATCATTGCGGAGCGCCCTGTAAGTGTGCTGATTCGCGCCAATTCCAATTTGTCCATATTATATTGTCGCCACTCATCCGATAACTAGCTCACTGACATGTAAAATATCAGCAGAAACAAAATCGGGGTGGCCGCCGCCCTCCTCAAGGTCGTCGCCGTGATGGCGTAAGAAAGGTATTTCTTCAACTCCGCTATTGCATTCGTCGCATATATTTCTTCTTTTGGTTTCATGCTGATCGGCCTGTCCTTCAATATAGGTCCTCCCTCCCAACTCTCTTTCGAACCCTCTACGCGCATCTTGAAAAGCACAATTCGCTGGCCTCGTAGTTGTCTTGGAATAGGCATTCGGCCGCGAAGTCCGCAGACGATGGATCAGTTGCCATGATACTTGAAATGATTTCGAGCTGACATTGTCCTTTTTTGCGACCACAACAGTCTTATAAAGAAGAACGCCCTGATTTAGATCTGTAAAACGCCCCTTTCCTTAGTCTGCAATTGTGTTAAGTTTGCTAACAAACTCGGATTCGATATTATAGGGATTGGGTACACGACAAATATGAAGACGACAGAGATTGTGCGTTTTGAACCTTACCCGGGCACTTGCCGCGGAACCTCTAGTTTTCCATTCTTACACAATCTGTTCAGCACGCCCATCTCGTGCCCCTCGACGACCACGCGGTGACCGCTATTCCCCGCCGCCGGACCAGTATGTCTAGTTCGTTTGAATGTTCCGCGTGGCGTGGGCTAACCCTTAGATAGCGCCCCTACTGGAGCTAAGCTTCGTGTTGAGAACCTTCATTACGATATTACAGAAAGTGATCTTGAGGTAAGCATGTTGGTCTGACTAGTTTGCCTTCTCGATCGTCTAATGGATCTCCTTCACAGGATCTGTTTACTCGAATTGGCCCAATCAGCAACCTCTCTCTCGTCTATGACCGAGCAGGACGCTCTGAGGGTGTCGCCTTCGTTACCTATGCACGTACCAGCGATGCGAGAACGGCCATAAGCGAGTTTGACGGCGCGAATGCTAAAGGACAACCTATTCGTGTGACCCTTGTTTCCACAGTCGGTGGACGACGAGACCGGAATCCCTTTGACAATGTCGAAAGGCCTAAAGGTAGCTTGTTTGACCGTGTGGAGCGGCCACGCGATCGTGACTCTCGCAGTCTTAGCCCCGGAAGTGGACATGAAAGTGCTGACGATGGTGCACGCCGCCGTCGTGGCCGCCGGGGAGGTGGCGGACGCTACCGACGTAGCGATGTCTCCAAGCCAGCTCCGGATCATATAGATCGGTATGTGCCAGGACAGCGATCGCCGGCGCGTCGTCCCGCCAACGGACGACGCCAGGGCCAGGGCCAGGGCGAGAGCCGTCGTGCCCCTGCTGCTCGACCCAAGAAGACGCAAGAAGAGCTGGACCAAGAGATGGACGATTACTGGGGCACTGCAAACACTGGTGCTGGCACTGCTGACAAGGAGACCGTTCCGGCTGAGCCGCAGCAAATTGCGCCTGCAACTACGGCTGCTGCTGGCGACGACGATATTGACATGATTGAGTAAACCCCACCGGTCACTAGCGCTTGTAACTGGTTAATACCTGGGTTTCGAAAGTTTCGCGTCAGATTGGGAAGGATAATAATTTGTCGTTATTGCTACGTTAACACACAAAAGGCACGACTATGCTAGATCATAATAGTTCGTAGCCATTTACTATCCACTCGGCTCATGCAAATATATAGAATCAACCAAATTGGTCTCTAATCTGTTCTTTTCATTAAAGATACTACCGGCGAAATGCTATCCCAAGCCAACAAAAGCTTGTCCCTAAGTACAAACTAGGCATAGCATCATAGCTAAGCACCAAATTCGATATTTTCAGATAACCTCCGAGATACATACCTCCGTATCTGCAGAATAGGGACGGTGAAAGATTTAAAAATACATTTCACAGATATGGTGTTACTTTCACCGCCATAAACCGTATGGCTCTCTGCATGCCTTCCACAATTTTATCGTGCCATCCTCGCTTCCTGTGCCGTAGAGTTTACCGTCGGGTGAGAAACTGACAGACCAGATTGGGCCGTGGTGTCCTTTTTGGACTTCTGTTGGAGTATTAGTTCGGCTCATGGAGTACTATGAATGAAAATGAGTGGAGAGAGAACATACCCAGCTCTTCATCCGTCCGGAGATCATAAACTCGTGCCCAAGTGTCGTCTGCACTTCCGGTCACCAGACGGCCAGTTTCATTGTTGACGGCGGCGCTAGCGACCTCGTACCTGAAGTCGGTCTTCTTGAGCAGACGGCCAGGGCTCGAGCCATCAAATAGATAGACAGATTTGCCTGCAGCGACAGTAAGGATGCCGGGGTCATTGGGGCGGACGGCCAGGGTGTTCAATTCGCAGCTACCGATGGTACCCTCAACGGTGTACTCAATGACAGGGTGACGAGAGCGCAAATCCCACCATCTGATCTTCCGATCTTCCGCAGCTGTCGTGAGGATATTATAATCCTGGTTCCAGACGATGGACTTAATGGTTCCACCATGGACGCCCGGGCCGATCTCATAGCTGGTTACTCCGGTACCATTTTCCCCCGTTGATGCGGGGAAGGTCGGCGAGGATGAGTTGCTACCACTGTTGCTGCGGGATAGGTCGAAGATGCGGAGCTTCTTTTCAAAGCCGCCTGTGGCAAGAACCTGGGGAGATGGCTGCATGGGAAATGCAACTGCCCGGACGATGTGGGAATGCTGCAGCGTGTGGAGACATTCGCCTGTATGCGTGTCCCAGACCTTTCTGTAGACATGCATTAGTGGTTTGCTACAGCTGCCGGGGAAAAAATGAGCTTCCCAAACTTACGCGGAGAAATCGGCCGCAGCTGTTGCAGCTATGGTGGCGTCTGTTGAGAGTCTGGCTTGCCAGACTGCGCCTTTGTGGCCGAGGAAGGTTCCAATCCTGTGTCGTGGTTAGTGGTCTTTTGTCATGAATGGGAATGGATAGTACTGAGGGATACGTACCAATCACCGGTGATACCGTCCCGGAGCATTGGGTTGTTGTCTGCAAAGGTTTAGTTTGGAGCATTCCGCTTGACCAATGATCAGGGACATACCCTTGCAAGCGGATATAAGATAATACTGGTCATCTTCTACTGTGGAAGAAAAGTCGATATGCGGCACGGGACGAGAGTGTCCGTGGCAGGTCAAGGGGACCACTTTTGTGAGGTCTGTGAAATATGAGTAACCATCGATGGTGGAGGTTTCAAACAGTTATGACAATACCTGACGCCATTGCAGCTTTCAGCTGGGGTTGTAAAATGACAATTTCTCGGTATTAGAGTGATTTCATTCAATTCAATTCAATTCTGTGCGGCCGTTATGTAATGATCTGATGTTCAAACACGGAGACGAAGAGACCCGTCCAAGAACAGAAAGAAAGGTGGAAATGAGAAGATCTTGAAAACGACGTGGAAAGGAGTTTATGTAGAAGTACAGAAGAAAATTCGTCAGTCTCGTCAAGTCATCAACTCAAGTACGGCGGGGTTGTAGTAACAACGATTGAGAAATCCTGGACGGAGGAAATAAAGTAACGAGAGGGAAAGAGAAGGAGAAACCAGTCAACAGATCTGTCCACCGCAGCAAACCCACTACAGAACAAGTAATCCGCAACCCTTCGAGAGAATAAAGAAAAGGGGAGACCCCGACCCTAAAGGAAGAGAGCTTGAAGTCGCGAGGTGAGCTTCTTTTTGATATTCGTTCAACCCACCGGCATTTGTTTCAATTGTCCGACACACCGCACTAAGGCCGATCAGGACTAGTGTGCGCGCACGTGAGGCTTGTAGCTGGACCCACTTATTTTGCCCAACTTTAATCGTGTACTATTCAATTTCTTTCATACTCCGGAGTACTGTGTATCCTTGCGCTCAGGATACTGGATGGACAACAGCCAGGCAGGCCAGTCTCCCTCATTCCTAGCCACCGACAACGCTGCATATCACCTCCGATTAAACCTGCAGACAACAACTCAAGGGAACATAGACTCACCGCCAATTCCTTAGATAACCGATTATACCATTTTAATGCAGGCCACTATAACTGACCCTGTCCAAAATGGTATATTATAGGGAAACTATCGCTGTACATGACCACATTGTGTAAATTCTACTTTCGTCGCTCATTGGAGTGGTAAAACCTAGCTACCTACCTGGCAAGCTCTAGTGAATACATGTAGTTTTGAATCGACTGCACAGTCCACATAGGCGAGATAAAGAGTTTGGATAGCCATATTGAGGTGTCAATGGCCTCAGCGACTAGCTTAAGACGAACCCATGTCTCATTGCATGTATTGCTCTTAGATAATGACCGCAGATTGCTGTATTACTAGTACTAGTATATAGCAGCACCCGTCCATCCTTGTTGCTTCCAGCTCTTCACATCATTGGTTCACTCTTTATCCCTGCTATCCCCACTTGGTTGTTTCTGTTGACCATGTATACGTACCTTGCTAGCAATCACTGTGTAGATTTCTTTATTGGAACAGGTATTTGAGCAGCATGAGCAGATAATTACCAGATCCTTGACTATTGGCAGCCCGCCAGTCATTGCCTGCGGGAAAGGTCGAATAATCAAGGTACCGGGCTAGCATATATACGAGTAGAATAGAAGAATAACCTCCCCGAATGCAATGACACAGAGAATCTTGGAATAGAATAGCATCTATCCATAGAATAGTCTTTTTCTTTGAATAGCCATCAATGTCTGGCCAGAGCCAACACATAGCCCGCTTAGATCGAAGTTGAAGGATCAGGCTGCTTTCAGAATTTTTTAGTCGTTTTGGAAGCCTTGTCAAGTGATCTAAAGAATCCCAGTCATTCCATGCGATGTCAAGCCGCAATTGGTATAGCATGAGCAGTACTACTGCAATGCAAGATAGTTCTGTTTCTTGTCAATACAAACAACGCGATACTAGAATCGCACACAAAATTCACCACAAGACTTGAATTTGATGTCAACAGTTTGTTATCCCAACTGCGCAATTGCGAGTCTATGTACCACGCCATGGATCATGATCGTCAACCGATAAGACCCCTGTCTCACGCAAAAAGATACATTTCTCCACCTGGGTCCGACATCCACTAAGCTTCGCTGGAGCGCCTCTTATGCCTTCGCTCCTTGGTCTGGCAATTTAAGCAATGGAGCCACGATTTATATTGTCAGTAGGAAGGTGAGCGCTGTTCCTCTGCCTTCTGACATTCCTATCATCGTTCGTCTTGTCGACTGGGTAAGGTTATTCTCGGCATATTTATTTGACTTTTCAGCACACATTTCGTTTGCGGGAATCTATATACATGATCAGTAATTCTGAAATATAATAACACCCGATTTCCTTACTTTCAAAGTTGGTGCAGCCAAGGCAGAAGTAGCTAAGAGCAAGCCAGCAAGAACACTACTAGTACTAGTAGTAGGCTGCACTGTTGATTGTTCCATCATGATTGGTTGCCGCTATACATTGATGTAAATGGCCAATACAGGCACAGATATGCAATCGCCTCGTAGATGCAGAGAATTGTGATTCCTACAAGCCAAGGATGTCTTTTTAACAAAGACTTTGATGTTATCTGGAGTATATATTCATTCATCCTTAGACAGACGCCATCGGTTCCAGACAAACGATTTCGAACCTTCAAATAGGGGTTGTCTAAATCCGAAGAATAAGATATGATCTCAGTTTTCTGTAGACAATCTCGTTTCATCACCACTCTCACCTTAAACCAAGGCCGAACCACATGTGTGTACCCTATCAAGTAGACTACATGTACTATCGTATTTGTAGACAATAAGCGACAGGTTTGTGCCCCAATGAAGCACTCGCCGCGCGTGATCCTAGAGCTATTTACAGATAGTCTCTTAAACTTGCATAGGATCTACTTACTATTTGATCTACATATATATTATGCTAAAATGCTCCAGTAGGGCCGTTATATGTATCTCATTTAGAAAAACAAAAGGAGTTGTGGTTCATTCGCCAGAATCCCATAGTCAATTGAGCATTGCATACCCTGAGAGTGCTAATACTAACTTAGTACTGGTATCTGAAGCCCTTTTGCATGGCAACTTCCTGTACCGGCCATTTCCCTCAATCAAGCCCAGACTTGCCATGACTTTCGTTGTAATATCCCAGGATCTGCACGTCTGTGGTCCCATTCTATATATCCAACAAGCTTCTTGTCCGGCTAGAAGACTAGTTTAGTGGCTGGTGAATAGCACAGCAGCTTCTCTACAATGAAAGACTACTTGAAAACTTCATCACCCCCTGGAGAAGAAGTTTGCAATTCATTATTCTCAAAGTCGGCTTTCCGATAATGATCGAAGGTTACAGGGACCCGAGAGGCCCAGAGCCAATATCAAATCTATTACCTTGAGGGTTCGGATGAACGACAACCGACCTGTGCGAACATAGTTATGGTAATATGGCAAAAGAGATTGCACGGCTGAATAAACAAATATAACCACCGCAAACTTGTTTTCGATCGTTTATTAGGATATGGCAAGCCCTCATCAAGCCAAAATATATATCTCGCGTCCCTTGGGCTTACCTGCCGACACAGGGTTCGTCCCATGGAGATTGGTCAAAGCCCACGGTCTGGTGTAGTTAAATCCATGTAAGGAACGGTCACTCATTCTGAGCATAGCAGAATTCATGGTCGATTATACCTAAATGTCCTTCATTTACTGTCCGGCTGCCCCAGCTTCCAATTGCCAATTGGAGACCTTGGTGGCTAAAGGCAGCCATCCGCTGGTGCCTGACCCACCGGTCTAGGCTTTGCAGTTCTAGCAGCTTCTACTCCACCGCCCACGTGACTGGGACTCCGCGGATCCTATTGTCATGTCCCTTAGTAAGTACTAACTAGTATGAGTGACTAGTTCCCTGGTACGTTGTAACCAAGAGACCAACACAGCAACTCTCACTCAGGTCAATCTCTCCGTCTCGTTATAGGACCTGGCCAGTTTTCCGACAATATAATTTTTGCCCAGGTTCTCTCACTGGCCTCCTCCTAGCCCTCTGGGGGTGAACTTTATGTATGCCTGACTTCAAGATCTCCGCTTCTTTGGAGGGCCACGGCGATGATGTAAGAAGGTCCCCGGCTGTTGATGTCCACAACAAGTGGTATCTCAATTATTGTTTTTTTGACAACTGACCATCGCTAACGATCATCGCAGGTTCGTGCTGTGGCCTTTCCTAATCCGAATGCCGTGTTTTCGGCTTCTCGCGATGCGACTGTCCGACTCTGGAAGCTTGTATCTACCCCGCCCCCAACATACGACTACACCATCACATCCTCCGGCTCCGGTTTTATCAACGCCATAGCCTATTACCCACCAACCCCTCAATTTCCTGAGGGCCTAGTATTTTCCGGAGGCCAGGACACTATTATCGAGGCAAGACAGCCGGGTAAGGCGTCGGATGACAATGCAGATGCTATGCTTCTAGGACATGCCCACAATATCTGCGCTCTGGATGTGTCACCCGAGGGTGGCTGGGTTGTCAGTGGAAGCTGGGACTCTACGGCTAAGCTATGGAAACTTGGGAAATGGGAGTGCGATGTCACCTTTGAGGGCCATCAGGGGAGTGTCTGGGCAGTGCTGGCGTATGATAAGGATACAGTTATTACCGGTATGTGTCATACTACGGGCTAGGTATACTGTATGACTCCCACGCTAATACTCTTACAGGTTGTGCAGATAAAGCTATTAGGATCTTTAATTCTTCCGGAGTTCTTCTGAAGACCATCCAAGATTCTCGTGATGTTGTCAGGGCCCTTTGTAAGGTTCCTGCGTCGAATCCCACTGGTGCACAATTCGCTTCAGCCGGCAATGATGGTGTAATCCGATTGTACACCATACAGGGTCAGGTAGTCGCAGAACTTAATGGCCACGAAAGTTTTATTTACTCCTTAGATTCGTTACCGTCGGGCGAGTTGGTGAGTTCCGGGGAAGATCGCACAGTGAGAGTCTGGAGCGGCACGCAGTGCGTGCAAACCATCACTCACCCGGCGATCTCAGTGTGGGGGGTTTCTACTTGCAAAGAAAACGGTGATATTGTCACAGGTGCCAGTGACCGTGTGACCCGGATTTTCACCCGGAGCGAAGAACGGGTAGCAAGCGCTGAGGTAGTGGAGCAGTTCGAGAAATCTGTTAAAGAGTCCTCGATACCCGAACAACAAGTTGGGAACATCAATAAGGAGAAATTACCGGGACCCGAGTTTCTTCAGCAGAAATCTGGCACGAAAGATGGCCAGGTACAAATGATTCGACAAAATGACGGCAGCGTAACCGCCCATACATGGTCGGTAGCGTCGCAGGAATGGGTGGCCGTGGGCACGGTGGTTGATTCTGCTGCCAGCAGTGGAAGGAAGACGGATTATCTAGGCCAGGATTATGATTATGTCTTCGACGTTGACGTTGAAGATGGGAAACCGCCACTCAAGCTCCCGTACAATGTCTCTCAAAACCCGTACGAAGCTGCAACGAAGTTCATTCAGGACAATGAACTGTCCATGAACTATCTCGACCAAGTGGCACAATTTATTGTCCAAAATACACAGGGTGCGACTATTGGACAGCCTACCCAGGGATCGACTCCTGTTGGCGCTGACCCTTGGGGCCAGGAGAATCGTTACCGTCCTGGGGATGCCTCCGCTCAACCTCCTGCTCAACCCCCCTCTGTTCCTGAATCCCGCCCCAAAGTTCTTCCCCAGAAGACATACCTTTCTATCAAGTCTGCCAACTTGAAGGTGATTGCGAAGAAGCTACAAGAAATCAATGAGCAGCTTGTGTCGTCTGGGTCGAAGGAGTTATCCCTAAGCCCCCCGGAAGTAGACACAGTTGTCTCACTGTGCAATCACCTAGAGACCCCAGAGAGTCTCAAGCAATTCCCTACTTTAGAGACCGGACTTGGATTACTGTTTAAGGTTGCAACGGGCTGGCCTGTGCCAAATAGACTACCAGGTCTGGATCTCCTTCGTTTATCTGCGGCTGCAACACCCGTGACTGCCACCGCAAACTACAACGGCCAAGACCTCATAAATGGCATCCTATCAAGCGGCACATTTGATACTTCTCCAAATGTCAACAATGCAATGCTTTCAGTACGAATGCTGGCCAACCTCTTTGAGACCGATCCTGGCCGACAGCTGGTTATGAGTAGGTTCGATCAGATCATACCCGCTGTAAAATCGGCACTGAGTAGCAGCGGTGCAACACCAAACCGCAATCTTACTATTGCAGTTGCAACTCTGTACATCAATATCGCTGTTTACCTCACCTCTGAAGGTAGAGAATCTGCCCCAGAGTCTTCTGAACGAGGCCTGGCGCTCCTCGCCGAACTGGTGCAGATGATCGTCGGTGAGAAGGACTCGGAAGCGGTATATCGGAGCCTTGTCGCCTTGGGCACACTGATCAAGGGGCTCAGTGAAGAAGTCAAGAGTGCTGCTACAGATGTATACGACATTGGCCTAGTCATGGGGAACGTGATGACCTCGGGTCCCGGGAAGGAGCCCAGGGTCAAGGGCGTCATCGGTGAGATCAGGGAGTCGTTGCAATAAGGCAAGGCGTAGACGGCCTTTGTCGAGCACATGATGCATTTGAGGATTAGACAATCATCTTTAATGATAGCCATGCATTTTACAGTATTAGACTCAACAAACTTAGGCAATCCACACACGCTGTACATATAAACTAACCTCAAAGGATCACACCAGCCTTCTTCTAGACAGTAAAACAATCAATATAATCGCAATGGCTATTCTTCAAAGCCTTCCTTCGGCATCAACCCTAACCTCCACGATTTGATCAATGTCTGGGTAATTGGGAAGGTCCAGCCCGTACTTCTCCGCGATACTCTTCGTCAAAAACCGACCACCGAGGAAATGCCTCCCCTGGTAATACTTCACACAGGGTTTTGGCGCTGTTAAACTAATCAGATACTCTGGCATAAACTTAGACCCAGGGCCTTCCTTCGGTGGGCCGCCCTCTATATCCCAAGAGCTGGGCGCATCGACGCTCAGTACAGGCACCGAAGCCGCCTCGATCTGAGAAATGATGGTTGGGAAAGGGTCACGCAGGGGACCACCGAAAGAAAAACCGAAGATTGCATCAACTAAGAGATCAGCAGATTTGATTGCTATTGGAAAATCGGTAATGAATGGCACGGAGAGGTTGTCGAGTTGGGTTTTGAGGCGCTATCAATGAGTTTAGCTTTGGATGCAACCAAGTAGAATCCACCCTGGTTGGCGAACGTACCTGGTAAAGTTCGTTCTTGCCCTCTTTCGGATAATAAACGGATGGCTTGTAACCGTATTGAGCGAGGTGGCGAGCAGCGACTAGACCGTCTCCTCCTGTGATTGTCATTAACCTGTGTCCCATCGCGGTGGCCTTGATGTTGACTTGCCGTTGTTGCCGGGGCCGCAGACAACTAGGATGTTCTTCCCCGCGCTTGGAGGATGTACACGGTAGACTAAAGAGGGTGTTGTTAGTGGGATCCGTAGCTTGTTTGGTTTCTTTCAATTTGCATCTCACCTGCTTGCGAAACAGACAATCCAGCAAGCTCCATCAGTTGGTCCAAAGACCATCCTCCGATTTCCATCAGATCTTTGTCTAGGGATGCGGCATCTTTAGAAGAAATAGCCTATGCGGATATCTTAGTTTGATATACGATTGGAATCGTGTAGTAAAAGGAAGCCTACCTTCAACGACATCCTGGCGGTTCTACTATAGTATCGGATCGAAGCGGGGAACGGATATCGTTTGAGCCCTGTCAATGCAGAACGAAACATATATTACTTGTTTGGAGGGACAGGACGGAAAGTTGCAGAGCTCAATGTCCCTCAGTCATCTAATATTCTGAATAATGATCTATCTCAAGTACACGATGGAGCTCAACTAAATAAATAACCCCAAAGAAGCTTGTGGTGGGATTTGATTACATCATACCTTATCATCCGATACACCGCCTGGCGCTAATCCGCATTCCGTAATCCCGGATCAACAAATCCTCCGGCAATCTGCGAAACTGCCGCGGAAGTCTTGCTGTCCTGCTTCAGACCCAGCGTATAGACCCTCTGTTGGACACTCATTGCTGCCGGTCAATTCCATTCAGCCTTCAAAATGGTCGTCCGCATTCGTCTGGCCCGATTCGGGAACAAGCATCAGCATTTTACAACATTATTGTTGCGCAGGCACGGTACGTTTGTCTACGTTTTTATTTTTCTTTCCCTTTTTCTTCCCGAGTCTAGACTTTCACACTATGAGAACAGGCCAATATGTCCAACGAAAAGAGGCGGCTTTGAAGCTAATATTATGTGAGCACTACAGGAGCGCTCGTAACTCGAAACCCTTGGAGGTCATTGGCACCTACAACCCCGTCCCGCAACGCCCTACAAACCTCTCCGACGAGGAAGCCCGCAGCGCAAGGCCATACAAGGAAGTATCACTTGACCGGTCCCGAGCCAAGTACTGGATCGGTGTTGGAGCGCAGCCCAGTGATGGTGTGTGGCGGTTACTGAGCCTGGTATGTGAACGACGAGTCTAGAAATCGAAGTCAGACGGCGTGATAGAAGGTGAACTGACAGTAATGGGCTACAGGCTGGCATCGGCGATGGCAGAACAAAGACACAGAACTAAAACTTGTTTCGTTCATACCCAGATTTCTTGTATTGATTGATGCATCGTTATCCCGATCCTTGCGTCGGTGATTGAAGAGGACGGCCTATTTGACTTGATAAACTCTTGAGTGCCATTTTTTGGCATTTTCCATGGCGTTATTGCGTGAACCTTTTCTGGAATATATTGGTTCGATGACCGGACCTTGTACCTGTACATTATGTGAGCTGGTTGTGTTTAATTGTGACATGAGAGAATCGCATCTGTCGATTACGGATTGATAACAATAAATTATGGAGTCCGTATGCAGGCTAAGTCTGGGGCTCCTTGTTCAATTTCGCAGATTGCCGGCAAAACCTATGGGTTGAAGTATGCCTTGGACCTATCGGGGGTCGCACCGGCATTGTAAGATGAAACACGGGAGATATAATAGTGAGCCGCGCTGTGGTCAAAGGTGGGCATGCGCCGTATCTCAAGGTGGCTTCTTAATTAGATCACTGACTCGCAGTTAGCTTGTTAGTTAACCGTTATTCCTCGTCTCGGGTTTTGTGGGGTTGGAGAACCGCGGTGATATTATACATCCTTGAATTTATGCCCTATTGTCTTACATATCTCGACAGTGAGAACTCCACGTACTTGATTCCTCTCGTGGTAAGCCCTTGTATACACAGTATACGCGCTAACGATGTGTTTGCCTCTCGTATGTACCCTCCATATTTCACGTTGTAATGAACTAAATTTGATACTACGGTATCATAGAAATTACGGCTGCATAAGCATCCGCATTATGTGTGGTCAATGTTCACTTATGTTTTCCTGGAGATGAAGCATCCGATTTGATGATTGCTCCTAGTATGAATCAATGACAGTCTACATAAGCGTCATAATGAGCGACATATAATACAGATGAGACAAGGATACAACCTCTCTTACCTCACCTATCACCAGACATAGCCTCGAGGTGTGCCATGATCACACCAATACACGTACTGGTATAGAAAAATAGGCAGTGAGCCAACATCTGACATCATCCTAGTGAGTCATCTTGTAGGCAGAAAGGGTTGGGTTCTCAACCGCAACACAACAGGCACGATCGAGCCGTATACTAGTGGGAGGCTGCGCTGAACATGGATGAAGGTTAATAATCTTCCTAGAATACGTACACAATCTGTTTAGCGCGTGTATCCGAAATGCTTCTGTTGGTACTAGGCCTTTCTTTCCACCCCCTAGATTCGCATCGGCGTCTCTGCCCACCCCTCCTCTCTCACAGACCAAGTTGGAAGTGCCGGGCATGAACCAATCGTCGCGGGGAGCCCGGCGTCCAGACACCATGGAGGCAAAGGTGATTGGTCATCGTTGGGATTCCAGATGGAAGATCAGCAGTAGAGTTTGAGCTTTCCCACGGATTCATGGCAGCCACTAGGCTCCGCTCTTTGGCACAGGCATTTCCTACAATTCGCATCCAGGTATGTCGTTCCTCTGTTGGGAGATGGGGGCTTAGAGTTTCATCCGTCGACTTTTACAGTTGTAGTTTATCTCTGGCTGGGGTAAGTAAGGGATTTATCATTTGGGATTAGTTGGTCGTGGTCACGATGAACGACTGTTAGGAAGGTTTCTCTTTTTTTCTTTTTTT